AATTCGATTTTTAGAAGGGAGACACCTTACGGCCTGAATGCGCTGATTCCATTTGTATATTTGATTAGCAATAGCGTTAAGTATGTTGAGCACCTTCACAGTGTAACATGATAAGGGCCAGCCATATGTGTGCCTCACATTTTTGAGAAGGCAACGTGCCTATACCCTGCACATGAGGAAACACACTGATCCGTTCCCTGCACCCCCCTTCATCAATAATTCAATAATATGGATGAAATTATACATTCTCTACTGTATTTTGTTGAAGCTAGCTATCGGCTTATTCATTACATGAATGCCAGTCCACTCACACGCATGTACAGTAAAGGTATTCCCAAGGCAATTTGCCACAGTCTCAAGGGATTATACCTCATTACATTCTCTGTCATATCGCGGAAAAAGGAGGTTCACATTTCCATATTCTGAACTCATGATGTATTTGAAGGTCGCACCATATTGCTTTTATGTTATTGCTTTGTTCTGCCATGTTTTGTATTCATATCAAGTTTCATCTCTATATTTAGCAAGTTCACAAAACCAATTTTGCGTGATAACAACATTTCATGGAAATACGATCATCCGCCTTTGCAATTTCATTTTGATGGTATATTTTTGTCGAGCAGAGTGAACGCTACATCTTTGGTATTTGATTCCTCTTCCAAATTGGTGTATAATGTCAATGTGTACTGCAAACTCATAACCTCTTTATCACAGAGATATACCAAGAATCCTTATTTTATAAAGGTCAGATTATCTTTTAATAAAAACTCTTGTCTGCCAATTTGTTTTCTAGAACACTCCAAAATGAGATTTCAACAGGACTGTAATATTTTTCCTCATCTGACAAAACAGGCCACATGGACTCTGTGTATTCTGTCATCAGGTTTCAATTTATGTTCCTCAAAATCAATCAAAGAAATAAAACAAGATTAGACATTAGGCTTGAAAAGAGAAAGCTGGGGGCTCACCAGAATATATTTGTGTGCTTGGGAAGTAAATCCCATTGCCTCTTGTTGAGGAATCATGTAATCTTTTCATTACAAAATAGAATCCAGGTCTTTCTTTTTTATACCGACAGATAAACTATATTCTTTAGTTTTTCTCTCTTTCTTTTTGGATGAGATGGTTATTAACAAAGATCAACATGTTTGTTGTCGTCCCACTTTGTAATCCATAGATAAGAAGCAAGGACATAGGTCTGTCTTCATCAACTCGAGATTGCCAAATATCTTGATCACAAATTATCCAGTTAATTTGCGTCTTCATCAGCCCGAAGTTGCAATAAGCGGGATATTTGGTCAAGATATTCATCCCAAGATATCTTGGGCTAGTTTGCAAAATATCCTGGTATTTGTCGGGTGCGTCTTCATCAGCCCGAAGACTTGCACTACGCGCAAACGCTGAGCAAAATATCTTGAGCTTGAGCTTGAGTTTCGAGTTTCGAGGTCGAGTCTCGAGCTGATGAAGACCCGATTTGTAACTTCATTATTATTTCTCAAATCAGAAATAGCGGGCTATTTGGCAATCTCGAGCTGATGATGACGGGCCTATTGTTGGCTTGATGTTAGGACGTCAGACCAATGCAAAGCATTTTGTGAGATTAGTTTCTAGATTGGTTTACAAAATCACTCTGACTTCTCTAGTTAGAAATATTTAGACTTTTTTTATTTTAATTAAAAGTGAAATACACCTTTTGTAGAATTATCAATACACCTGTAGTTTATGTTTTTCTACCAGTAAGACACATTTCTGCATTTAAATTTCAATTGACTTGATACTCCCTTTTTACCCCTATTTGTACTTCAATTAAAATTTCATAGGGATGTGTTACACATAGTATCATCAAATCATCATCATCATTGTTATCTTTAAGTGATTATGTAATGTTTCTTCATGATTTAATGCTTCTAGTAATGCTTAATATCACCAAGGAAGTAACCAATCATCCACCAAATCAGTAACATATAGAAGAACACGGTCTTGGATTCACCTAAAAGGGTCACTCAGGTAGACCTAATTCACATCACAATTATTGATTCAATTTTCAGGTTGAATGATTTATAAATATAACATTAATGTGGACACATTGATATAGTCAGGAATTTGCCTTACAGATCTCCTCCTCTTGCATCGTCTTCTTTTAAATCACTTCCTCACATAATATGTCTGTAGGCTAGATGCCCTCGTCAGTGAAATGAAGGATAGGTAATAACTGCGCTAAATGGAGCATCAAATGACAGTGGAAGCCGGGATATTGTTTAGTCAAATAACCCCCAAAGTCATTTTAGCAATAACCTCAGAGTAAATCTACATGTATATAGCTGACATTTTGGAATGCCGCCATTATTCTCCTAACTTAAGCATACGCTGGAAGAGATTCCTGTATTATTAAGGAAACAACATTAGCATAGATTTTACAACTTTATTTGATAACAGGATGTAATTTAACTTAGAAAGCTGTCATTTGGCATTTAATTTTAGAATGATAACAGTTTCTATTTATAGCATTAAACTTGACAGCATTGGTGTGGGGGTTGAACATTATATCTGGAAGGTAAAAACTTTTTTGGTTGTTTTAGGAAAATAAAAATTGATGTACCGGTATATTTTTTATCTGCCCAAAATATGAAGGAAAAAAAATGTCTGTTTGACAAAATGCACTAAAAACTTTAACAAAAAAATATTTGTCACACACCATTATCAGCCCCCCCCCCCCCTCCCATAATGTTCATACAGTTTTGTAATTGTCGATGGGTATAAACAGCTGAGGTTTCAGACACCAACGATAAGTACAATTAGTCATCCCTCACTTCATGTTACTTAGGTCTAATGTTCGGAGATGCATGGAAATGTAGGACACTCCCGACTTAACTTAAACCTTTCCAACAAGCTTCCTTGTAGCATCCCTCCACTCTGTGACAAATGTATCTCTCATCTACGTCACTGAACCAACTGGAGTGAAATAAATGAAGATCCCTCTACCAAATTATCCTTGACAAACTTCCCAAGCAGAAGAATAATCAGTTAGCTGGCCCGTTTTACGCTAGTCTGTCTTGTCTAAATGTATCAGACCCACTAATACATGAATATGCTAAGAATGCTTCTGTGTTTAGTGGAATAATGTTACATCTCATCATAGTTTTATGCAAGTTTGGTCAAGAGAACAATAGAAATTTATCTGAAATACTTATTTTGTAACAAAAATTAATTCCATTTATCACCTTTGTAAAATGTAAGAGCAGCTTCCATCTTTTGCTATGAAGTTCTAAATCAGTCTTATTTATTGCTTTAAAGGTAAAGACCAGTAATGGTCATGCGATTGCATTGTGAAAGAAACGTTGTGGAATCGATCAGAAAAGGTTGATCATCTAGCTTATAAGTATTGGTGTGAACTGCAAGGTTCTGGAATCATCAAAATGATAAGAAATTTGGCCCAGTCTTCGTAAAGTTACAAGCACTGTACACAGAAAGATGTATATGGGACTACGCACACGTGCGCGACACGTGCGTTTATCTCTCACAGACCATGTAGCTAAACTGATTTACCAAATATATCAATTAGTAGGCGGTTTCCCAGCAAAATTTTTATCATCATGTATTAGTCAAAACATATTCTTTCACATGATTGGTAATAAGAGCTTTCATTTCATTTTTTGAAATTGGGGCGTTTCCAATACTGGTCTTTACCTTTAATATCTCTCTGTAGTTGAGTTTGAAATTTTATTATCCAAACATAAAGTACATCAATATAACAATCAAATGTGAATGATTAACAATGTAAGGATAAATGGGACCAGAAAATAGCAGTAAAGGCTAATCATGTCTGGTACCACTAACAAACAAAAGTATCACAACAATGGATGAGAATGTAATGAATAAATGTGAATAACTGTTGAATACCAAAATTAAGCTATACAAACTATTCAACATCTGGGCTAAGATGTGTTCTGTGATTAGATACAAAGCTTTTGTTAAAATGTATCTGGGAACAAAATCTAATATGGATAGGAGGGACTCTGAAGGAAAACAAAGTAACAAACGACAGGAAAACATCTGTGGGATGATAGCATCACTGGCGGGTGTGGAGGTGGATGAGTTACTCTGGAGTCTGTAATCGAGATACCAGTTTCATTTTTCAATTAGACTCTAACCTTGAGGTAACATTATGGGGAACACTGCCTCTGACTCATATCATGCCTGGTCGAGTCTTTTAGAAATAATGCTAGCATTAATTTTGGGCTGTGGGAAAAACTTTTCATGACGATGAGGAAACTAAAATTTGCTTTTCTTCTAGCAACTTATGTATTTGTGCTCAAATTATTCATTGGGTTTAGACAATGCTCGTCACAATGTTTCTAAGCACAGGAGAGCTTGTCAAGAAGGGGAATGAGAGAGAGAGAGAGAGAGACACACACAGAGACAGAGACAGAGAGAGAGAAAGAGAAAGAGAGAAGGGGTGGGAATAAGCAAGTACCTGAATAATTTTACTGAGATATTATTCTTTTGTACTGTATTTATACACATCGTGTCATTATTCAGCTATCCAAGTCTGTTAATTGAAATGTGAGGTTTTTTCCATACCCGCTTCCTCTCTGTCTCCCTTCCCCTCTCTCTCCCTTTCCCTCTCCCTCTCTCCCTCTCCCTCTCCCTCTCCCTCTCTCTCTCTCTCTCTCTCTCTCTCTCTCTCTCTTTTCCCTCTCCGTAACTTTCTATAACGAAGCAATTAATCTGCATACAAAAGTAACAGTTTGTGCAGGTATCTGAGCCTATTGAGTCTTAATGAAACCATAATCATTTTAAGACTGCCAGCACATTAAACTTGCTACTTACCAGTATCTTTTCCTCACTAACTTTCTCCCCATTAGTGTTTCTATAATTGCCTTCTTCTTTTCTTTGAAATTATTTGTTATTTCTTTTTATTTTGATATTCCTGATACATTCCCGTTTTTCACTTAGAGGATTATAGAGGAAAGGAATATATACTGGTATTAATCAGTGATAATTCTCACCGGTTCTCTTTTGTTATTGCCGCTGCATTAATATTTGGATGGAGTGCATGCATTAGGGGATTTGCAGCCAGCTAGCAAATTGCTACCTGTTGTCTGTGTCTCCCTCCAGACACACACACACACACCACACAACCAAGCACACAATGCATACATAACACAATAGAGTGATACTAAACAATTCTGTTGCGTGTCTGTCTGGCCAGCCAGCCTGCCTGCCTGGCTGCCTGCCTCAGTGGTACTAGTGGTGCTGGTGCGGTTAGGGGCTGCTGAACTTTAATCATTCAATCGTTGGAGCTTGTACCAACAGGTCGTGCTCTCTCTCTCTCTACCTGCCCGATTCTTTCATTGGCGCTTACTGACTCGGACTGTCAAGTTGTTTGATCTATCTGTTATACCTTCGCTCTTTCAACGAGCCCACAGGATATGGGCATTTATTGAGGATCGTCTATTTAATGCTGTCAATAATCAGAGATATATAATTGATGGATGGTTTTATTAGCGGATCCTGCTCTAATCTACTTCAATTTGAGTGAGTACAGAACTTTGTAATTTGTTCTCCCACAAAAATTTCTCGTATGATTAATCTATTTTTAACTTTATGATTGGAATGTAATCCCCTTGTTTTATAGAGTCCCATAGTGACCATACATCATGATTATCCAACATTTAACTATTTTAATTATTCACATACACAGGCCTCTCGCCAAGAAATTAAAAACGCGTGGCGCGACCCGAGGGAAAATTTGACCCCCCCCCCCCCCCAAAAAAAAAAAAAAAAAAGTAAAAATTTGATTTTTTTTTTATAATTTTTTAATTTTTTTTTAATTTAAATTTATTTTTTACAAGTATTACAAGTAATTTGATGAATTTTTAATACCATACCTGCCAACCCTTACGAATAATTCAGAATATTCTGTTTTGGGGGGATTTCTAGGACCAGAAAATCCGGAATTTTCTGATTTTTCAAAAAAAAAAAAAAAAAAAAAAAAAAAATGATTTTTTTTTTTTTTTTTTTTTTTTTTTTTTTTTTTTTTTAAAGAACGCGTGGCGCTAGGTCGGGCCCGTCAGGAACGCGTGGCGCGCGCGCCACGCGTTATCTGTGTACGCGAGGGCCATGCACATACATTTAAAATTGGTCAGTTTGCTAAGCTTTTTAAGAATCTTCGGATTTGGGCAGCAGACCCACGGCAAAACTATTATTAATTTTGTTTAAAGGTGCTATTTTGATAGTACATGTATGCCATTTTTAGAATACAATTGATATGAAAATGATATGGTCATGTGTTTTATATATATAGACATTGTGAAGTATGTTATTTTAAAAATTAGTGGCAAATAAGAAGGTTAAATGTGACAACACGCGTTGTGTTTACTGTTAACGAGGCAGAAAAATAAATATGACATATTTGTTTTCTCTGATGAATGTGGTTGAAATAAGTCCAATGCATTCATTGTGTTTTAATTGAAGTAATGAGTGAGTGATTGGGGTCTCCTAGCTAACTCATTTCACCCGAGCGAAGTTTGTGCAATTATTTGGAGGCTAGCCATTGCCTGTGATGTATTACTTGTCATTAGATTGTAAGAGGAGGATTAGATGAAAAGTATCCACATGCCGGCTGCCATGATGGATGGATGTGATGAGGTCTTCATTAAGATGGCCGGGCCCAACTAGTCAACCCTCCTGTCTAGCTGCTTTAGATTGAATATCTCAGCTTGATGGCATGATTAATTGCAGTCTGTTGCAGTTACAGATGAGATGAGCGCAATTTGTGCGGGTAAATTGTTTCAGTGTAGGTTTCATTTGTGATGTCATTGAGCATTATGTTTGCTTCTGGCTAATGACAGTGGAGTGACTTTTTAATCAAGGTTATGAGTATATTTTTGGTAGTTTAATACAACCCAAATTGAATGTGCATCAACCCATTTGAATTACAAAAAACCTTTCAACTTGAAGGTGTTTTTCTCTTCAGGAAGAGGCAGTACAGTAGCAGGAATACGCATGCAGCAAGGAAATATTTTGTAACACTATTCATGCCTACCAGTTGTTTTTAATTCATTATTCAATATAATTGTATTTTGAGAACGAGCAAGTTCATTATCTCCAAGAACATTTGTTCAGAGCGTTAGAAATTTGAACCTTGTTTGTGCTGTGTTATGTGTAAATATGTCTTGGTCATTATCTTGAACAAAATCAGAGACAGAAATAGTGTATTATTTTCCTTGATCTCTTTTTGTTCAAGCCGTACGGTTTTGTTTCCTTACATCTTTTTATATTTACTTACTTTGACGGTATTTTTTGTATCATGTGCATGTGATGTTATCAATATAGGACAGCACGACTCAACTTGCAGTGGTCTTTGTGTAACCTACAGACCGTCTATTCTTGTAACAAAGCGCAGTGGCACCCTTAGATGATAATGTGTATTGATGTTGCAATCCGAAGATAAAAAAATGCCTTTATGTTTTGATGAATTGTGAAGACTGGGTTTGTGTAGACAACCTCCTTTCAACTGAGAAGTATTGACGTTTCTATTCAGAGAGAGAATTATATCCAAACGAAGGAATGAAAATGGTTTCTACAGACCAGTCAAACGTGCATTAGTAGAAATGAGACGGCAGGCACGCAATGTTTGTGTTTTCTGCTATGATGGATCACATGAATACGATTGGAATCAATAATGTTCTCCCATTTTCTATTTTTACAACAAACAGCATGGTTTCGTGATCCCCCACAGTTATATGCTGCACAGCTCTGGGAAGAAAAGGGAACAATAATCTCTGTCTCTTTCTTGAAGGATTGTTGCTCGGACCCCATGGGATAAGAAGATACTTAGGATAAACCTTGGGGCAATTACCAGTCGTTCTTTACACCAGAATATCCCTTGCTTTGTAGGCTTCATTGTTAACCAAGCTTTCTTTCTGTCTTGAAAGCTTGCTGTACACTTCAAATTAACTGTTGTGAGGGGTTGTTTACTAAATTGAAGAAGGGGGATTGCTTTGTGCTCACCCTCTCAGGAACTGGTGAGGAGTTGAATAGTTCAACAAGTTAGCTCAAATAATCAATAATACTTTAAAATTGATTTTGATGGGATGTCACTTAAAAAGACCAGCTCAGAAGCTTTGACATGTGGACTGAAACATTTAGTAATTTGGATGTTTAGTATATCAATGAATTGATTTAAGACTACCGGTACATCTACGGAATGGAGTGGGCGTTAATGGGTTATGTACATATCTGATCAGGGATTTAATTGTTTTCTTTGTCTCAGACAATGTATGATGATCTTTGAACTAGCTGAAAGATTCTCTTAGTCATTTGATCAAAGCATAATGTCTGGTTACTTGTTTCATTTCTTTTGGTAGCATGTTAGGCACCTTTTCTTCATGTACATACTACATGTTTTCATTGGGTTTTAAATGTCCTCCAGTTGAAATTCAACATCCTCATTAACCTGCTATACATGTAGTTATAACCTGATGTCTATTTTACTTCAAAAGTATTGTTTTTCAAAAGATGAAACCTTTCTTACCAGGAAGCTAGTTTGTAATGGAGTCATTTGAATATACAACCTGTATCTGAGGAAATGCCAACTCTGATACCCGCAGTATTTATCAAACAAAACATCATAATTGGGTGCTTGTTATTACCATAAGGTTGTAACAAAATATATACCATGTCGCCATTTCTTCCACATGCCCCCATATTGTTGACACATAGTATTATAGAATTGGGCTTACACTCACATGAAGTTTGTAACATTAATGACAATATGACATCACAATGGTGTAGGCTTGTATCAATACGTTTAAGTTTTTAGATGTTCACTTTAATAGACCCTATTTTCTTTGTACTTCTGATATAATTTAATTCCTTTATAGAGTCAAAATTGAATGTTGAGTGTATTTTCATTTGTTGATGAAATTGAAAAGGAGGAACTGATAGTGAGATTATGATACTTTTCCTGCTTTCTTTTCCGTCATCCTTGCCAAGGCGAACACAGTTTTATATTTCTGTAATGATAGCCGACTTGGTATGATCAAAGTGCTATATTTGATGGTAAATAAGATCAGTTTAGGTCCAATAAACACAGCTATGAATACCCACAGAGGGCCGGGTCTGTGCTGTGGAATGGATTGCTTGGTTGAAATTGAAACTTTGAGTGCTTTATTCTAGGCATCATCCACGGCCATCTCCAGAGGACTAGATATATAAAGGTCAGTAGTATTGGGTTAGCACTATAATGACCACTTCACAATCGAGGCAATGTCTCCTCAATACTCACTATCCTGATATGATTTGACACCACAGACTGCATGGGTTGATATAGCTGTGAACTTTGAAAGAAGAAGAAAAAAAACCTTATTGGGTCTAGAAATAATGGAAAGAAGCAATATTGAAATAGAGACATCCTGCCATCCTGGCATCCTGGCAATAGAAACTAGCTTGACAGAGAGACTGTCTTGGTTTTGGGAGAGTCAAAAATATATTGGAAAGATCTTCTCGGATAGCAATTTGAATTGAGTGTGAACCATGTGAAGAAGTACCCTGCAGTTTATTAGAGTGCAGAGTCAAATACTTATTTCAGCTTTCTTTGATCAAGTTACAGCGAGATAGAAAGGTGTGACGGTAGCCTGGTAGGATGTTGTTCACAGCATGGAGTTACCGGTCAAATTTTGATAATGCATTGGACTGAGATGCTTTCTTTTAGACAGTAAATGACAAACCAAAACTGAAAATAATCTTGGTACATGTCACACTGGATTGATAACGTGAATGATACTGGGTTGATTATGACTGACAAGTAGAGAGTCTTGAGAGGACACTCCTATAAGATAACAGCATGGAAACAAGAATGCTCTGTTTCTTTAGTGAGAATAAAAGTATCCTGTTGATAAGAAATGTTGGTTGGTCTCTCTAGGCCTGTTTTCATCAGCTTGAGATTTCAAAATAGCCGCTATTTCTGATTTGAGAAATAATCACGAAGTTACAAATCTCGTCTTCATCAGTTCGAGACTCGACCTCGAAACTTGAAACTCGAGCTTGAGAAATTAGCTCGAGATAGGCCTATATTTTGCTCAGCGTTTGCGCAGAGTGCGAGTCTTCAGGCTGGTGAAAACGCACCAGACAAATAGCAGGATATTTTGTAAACTACCCAAAGATGTCTTGGAATGATTATCTCGACCAAATATCCCGCTAACTTCGGGCTGATGAAGACGCTAATTAACTGGCTAATTTGTGAGCAGGATAGTTAAAATAGCAGGTTACTTGGCAAACTCGAGCTGATGAAAACAGGCCTTCTTTCTCTCAGATGTCTGTTTGATATCTCTGTCTCCACTCCCTCCTTGGTCTCCTTTAGACTTGAACTCTCCCTGAGTAACCACAATCTACCAGGGTAGCTAGCCATAGTGGCTTCTGATAAGAGATACATGATACTGCCCTAAAACCTGTGGCTTTTTTAGAAGTTCATGCAAGATATAACTAGGGTATGCTTGTAAAATGTTTGTACAGTCAAACCTGCTTTAGTGACC